GTTTTTGAAAGATTTCGATTATTGAAGGAATGGTTAGAATGTTAGTGGGAAATACATTAGAGATATTCTATTATCATAACAAAATCCCATAATGCATACCTTACATAACAAGTATTTATTGTTTTCTCAGATTTGCTGTGACATTTGTCAGCAGTGGTACCACCACCAATGTGTACAAAGGCCGCCAGTTGATCAACCGTACTTGTGCCCTGGATGCACATAATGCCCCGAAGGAACCATCATTAACTGTCCACTGTCATTTCAACCAATGCAACTATTGTTTGGCCTGTCATAAAATGCACCCCACCCCAAAAGAGGTTTCTATGAATCCCACCGTCAAGCATTTTTCAGGGTATGGTTCTAGGACTGGTACCAATAAATGGAGCAAGTTTCATGAATGTGACACTTTTATGTTGTAAGATAGCAAGGGGGGGCATATTGTGATGGCCAGGCCTGTCATAAAATTCCCCCCCACCAAAAGAGGTTTCTATGAATCCCACCCTCAAGCATTTTTCAGGGTATGGTTCTAGGACTGGTACCAATAAATGGAGCAAGTTTCATGAATGTGACACTTTTATGTTGTAAGATAGCAAGGGGGGGCATATTGTGATGGCCAGGCCTGTCATAAAATGCCCCCCCACCAAAAGAGGTTTCTATGAATCCCACCGTCAAGCATTTTTCAGGGTATGGTTCTAGGACTGGTACCAATAAATGGAGCAAGTTTCATGAATGTGACACTTTTATGTTGTAAGATAGCAAGGGGGGGCATATTGTGATGGCCAGGCCTGTCATAAAATGCCCCCCCACCAAAAGAGGTTTCTATGAATCCCACCCTCAAGCATTTTTCAGGGTATGGTTCTAGGACTAGTACCAATAAATGGAGCAAGTTTCATGAATGTGACACTTTTATTTTTGTAAGATAGCAAGGGGGGGCATATTGTGATGGCCAGGCCTGTCATAAAATGCCCCCCCCCACCAAAAGAGGTTTCTGTGAATCCCACCCTCAAGCATTTTTCAGGGTATGGTTCTAGGACTGGTACCAATAAATGGAGCAAGTTTCATGAATGTGACACTTTTATTTTGTAAGATAGCAAGGGGGGGCATATTGTGATGGCCAGGCCTGTCATATAATTCCCCCCCCCACCAAAAGAGGTTTCTATGAATCCCACCCTCAAGCATTTTTCAGGGTATGGTTCTAGGACTGGTACCAATAAATGGAGCAAGTTTCATGAATGTGACACTTTTATTTTGTAAGATAGCAAGGGGGGGCATATTGTGATGGCCAGGCCTGTCATATAATGCCCCCCCCCACCAAAAGAGGTTTCTATGAATCCCACCCTCAAGCATTTTTCAGGGTATGGTTCTAGGACTGGTACCAATAAATGGAGCAAGTTTCATGAATGTCACACTTTTATTTTGTACGCATAGCATATATGCTGACAAAGACTATGTAACATTTGTAAACATATTTTGATTATTAGATGACAACTATGTAAAATTAAACAATACATTTTAAAGCACGTTTATACAGACAGGACGTAACAATAATGATAAAAAAAAACATTTAAAAAAACAAACTGAAAAGGAAGTGACGAACGAATTTCGACACCTCAAATACGGAGCGAAAAGTTAAACCAGAAGAATCAAGACTATGAGCTACCACTAAACAACTCACAGTCTGAAAATTACCATTAATAAAAACCCTGAACGTTTACTTTTCGTTTTAAACAACGTTTTAAGGTGTAAACCTATGGTGTTAACGTGTCATTTAGAGGTGAAACGTGTCATTTAGAAATGCGCGTTCCCGTGACAAGGGGGGCATTTCATGACGGGGAGGCATAATGTGACACAACACCGGGAAGCCAATACGGAAGTGCCACACACTGCAGTTCATATATTGGCCGATAGGCGATGGCTGCAGAAAGGAGCAATTTCCATAGACCCCCATGTTAAAATGCCCGATTTTACAGCAGAAAAAAACATGTTTCTACCCCTGGCTCCATACATTTTATTATCGATATAGTTAGATTCCACCTTCATGATTATGGATCTGTGAGTGAATTGTTTTCTAACGCGACCCTTTATATTTATATTAGGTCTTAAAGTTTGTGCATACATTAGGGCGTGGTCACTTTGATTGACAGATACGTGCCTCACTGTCAGCTAACAGCAACTTGTCCAATCTGCTAGGCTACAACCATAGAGGCTACAACGTTAGTTAGTTGTAGTTACTGTACTTGATCCTTTAGCTGTGTTCGTGGTGATCGTGCCTGTTAGGGAATATTGTTACAAATACCAGATCATTAAAATGTCGTGCTGTGCGCTTGAATGTACTAACAGATCTTCCAAGAAGTCTACTTTCAGCTTTTTTCGGTGAGTAAAATGATAATATTATACATGTTAACCCCGTTAGCAGGTGTAGCTTATTAGCCAGCTAAGGACGTAACCCTTTATACATATAAACAGTTTAGTTTATGATTCAGCCTTGGGTAAGACTTTTATACTATATGGCTATGACGCCCATAATGCTAAACGGGAGCAAATGTTAAAAGGGGTGGGCCGCCGGAGTCCACGCCGCCGAAGCTAACGGGGCTGCAGGGTGCTAGCTCGCTAGCGCGTCCCGGCGGCCGTAGCTAGCACCCTGGGGCTCCGTTAGCTTCGGCCAGCGGCGGAGTCCGGCGTTATAACTGGAGATCAAGGAATGCATCGTAACGCGGACTTGGTTCGCCTGCAGCCCGCTGTAGTATTAGCTAAATAAATGATGTTGAGCAAGGCTTATTAAGCTGAACACCGCCACAATTATTCTGCTATGTATCGGTACTTATTTTATTTTATTAACGTGTGAATGACAAGCATTAAGAATAATACCAAATAGCTAATTATCTTGCAGATTGTCTCGTTTGATTATGAATGTAACGTTTATATAGTGGAACTACACTGTTTTATCAAAACCAAAGTGCCACGCAGTGACTTGGTATGCATGTATTTCAGTCGGAAATGTGCAACCTAGATGACATTTACCAACACAGACTATATAGAAATATTTGTAAAAGTTGTTCATGCGTTACTAAGTGAATATGGCATTAACCCTCCTGTTGTCTTCGGGTCAAATCTGACCGATTTACTACTTTCATCAATCATGTTTTACATTCGATTGATACTGAGAGCATGTTAGCTTAGCTTCTTAGCCTGAGCTAGGACTCGAACGTCACGCTCGTTGGCAGCAGGTCCCGCCTCAGCTCCGCCTCAGCTCCAGCTCCGCCTCTTTGCCCTTATTTGGAGAAGGCGGGAGTTAGACTCTGACGACACCGTTGAGCCTAGTGGCCGACTCCGCCTACTAAGGGCTTCACGGCAACTCTGCAGAATCCTATGGGTGACGTCACGGACCCTACGTCCATTTATATATACAGTCTATGATTTGCACACATCTTGTGTCCATATCTTTCTGTTTTGGTGGTCACGCCACACCGTGCACGAATGTCTTTCACACACACATACGGGTTTTGGGCCGAGGGCGACACCGTACTTCCGGTATCTGCCATTTCACGCGAGGTGCAAGCAGAATATCATAGTCTATTGCCTTAATCAATATCTAGTCAACTCTAAAATACCACATATATGCATTGGCATGATAATATTATTGTGACAAGTGGGGTATTCACCTGGTGTTTGCAGAAGATAGACGTAGATGCTGCCAAAATCGACCGAAGGCCACTTTCGAGAGTCGTTTTTCCATACATCTGCAGGCAGTCTGTAAGGGCAATCGGACAACCCACACAGCTCTAGTTTACGCTGGTAACGACCTAGAGCACACCCCTCAAGTCCAGAGATGTAATCCGAAGACATGCAGCGATTTCTTCGGTCGTTAATTCAGAAAAAAAACCTAGTGCGCTCTGCCTGGATACTTTACCTAGCTGTTTATATTAGCACCTCCAGGATATTATCACCTCCAGGAAAATGGCGTATTTATATATATATATATATGGCGCGCGTTGCATTGTGAGTAGCTCGTGACGTCACTGTGTGTGAAAGAATACGCGAGTCATGGCAAGATATCTGGATTAAGAGGTTGCTTTTTCTTTGCACAGCATGAAAGAAAGGCCAAATGAATGGGCTGTGATTTTTAAGCAGAGGTCAATAATTTGTACGGCCCTCGGAGGATGTTGAAAAAATTGAAATGGCCCTTGAGAGGAAAAAGGTTCCCCACCCCTGGTTAGAGCCAATAGATTCTAAGGGAAATCGTCCCGCACACACTCATGTTAAAAAAAAGGTGGCATCTCTGCGCATGCTAGCTTTCAGCAGAGGGGAGAACGCATGCTAGCTTTCAGCAGAGGGGAGAAATATCCCTGCTCTGATATCAAGCAACGGAAAAGCTGTTTTATTGCTTATGGATTATCAGAACATTTCAAAGGGGACGCAGTCACATTGGATATTAACCTATGGATTAACTACAGCATCGTTTTTATCGTTTTAATGCCATTGAAGACCAGTTTAGACCAGACAAAACCAAGGTAAGACATGTTAGCGTTGTGGGCTACCTAGCGCCACTTGTTTTGATGTACGTTTTTGTTGATATCTTTCAGTGTTGAGGTGGGCACCGTTAGATTCTGTGTCTCCTTGCGATCATAAACGATGTGTTGGATGTGCACCTAGGAAAAGTAATAAGGGAGCTAGGAGTGATTATCGGTGCAGTAATAGGTTAGCATTTTTCGCTCAGGGGTCATTTAGATGCTTCTTATGAGACTTGTCTTTTGTTTTGGTAAAAATGGTTTGTATCGTCAGTTAGCTGAGATTATTCCCGTTAATCTGGTATAACACATTAATAGGTACTTAAATATTAAGATCCCCTGAGACACAGTGTCGTGAAAAAAAAAAAAAAAGTACCCGCCGGCAGGGACCTTGGGGCTTAGCAGGTTTAATATACAACAAAAAAAACTCAGTGTGATGGACAGCCAACTTTGGTAATGATCTTAAAGCACAACTGTCCAGAAGTACAATCTCAGAGCTTTGAGGCTGTAAACTACTTTGTTTTACTACTATCACTGTTTTTTTTTTTTTTATACATGTGGCGTATTCAGATACCTGTCATACATGTTTTAAGGACTTGCACAGGTCAGACTTTTAAAGACACTTTAGAAACAACAACAAGGTAGTAGGTGTGTGTTCTGATTGTAGAGAATGGAAAATTCCTAAAACAGACACTAAATAAGATGATGTATGTAAATGTCAATGGTAGGCCTCTGCGACATTCTCTGTTATGGAAACTATTAATCCTGGGTGTTGTCAGACTGAGGTTAAGCGAGGGGTTGACTGTGGTCAGTGGTTACTGCACTCTCCTGTCAAGAGCCAAATGAATAGTCTTTGGAGGCATCACTGTTTACCTTGGAAGAGCAGGTTGTGTTCTGAGAGTTTCACCGTGTACTGTTAACTTGTCCAATGTACTATTTGGAATATTTTGGGATTCTACTGTCATGAATAAATACACATGATAAACCCCTAATAAAATGACTAGACATCATCTCGACTCGAACATGAAAACGCACACACATTTTGAAAGATTTAGTGTGTATTCGTGTTGTAACTGACCACATAGAGAGGGTATGTCTGCAGGTTTCACCCCACAGTGAAAATCCCAGTTTGGTTTAACACTCAGCCAGTGGCACCTGCTTTGCTAAGCTGTGAGTGTGAAGATGTACACATTGCAGACAATATGTGTAAGCAATGCATCACAGTTAATGTGCGTACAAACAGTATTGTTTGTACAGGGTGTAAAACGGGTTCATTGTCCACTTCTCAGAGTTCATGTTTGTTTTCATACATAGATGCTAGTGGAGCTTCGCCAAACATGGTTGGCTCCGGCATGAACTGTCTACCAACCCTGTCTCTTGTTTGGAAATGACCCAAGGAAAGTCTGATTCGGGTCAGGAGAAGACTTAGAGCTGACAGTGGATCACAAATGCATGTGTCAACCCACATGACTAGAATCTATCACATGTGTATGAAACTGTATTCCAGTATCTGTTTTTTGCCACCTGTCTATCTTCCATCTCCTCCACAAATATCTGTTTTCCACCTGATGTTAGCAGACAGTTATGAAAGGGTGAGGTGACAAGATGGAGCAGGGCGGGTCTGTGTTTTTCATGGTGCTAAGAAACGAGGACCTCTGTTAACAATGTGAGATTTTTTTTTTTTTACCTCTCCGCCTCTTAGATATTCCTTTTCCTCCTGCTCTCTCTTCATATAAGCATTCACTCTGAGTTGGGGGCAAGTGAAATGTGGTTAAAGAAACTGCACTACAGCTTTTGCTACATGTGGTTATAGGGATAAATCGTCTCTGTTAAACAATTTCTTCCACAGTTTCTTTCCTTTGGCAATACCGTCTCTCCTTTCTCTGGACTTCAGTCTTGAAGATTTTAAAGTTTTGGACTTATTTCTACAAGAGCTCAAACTGAGTAAACTTTTAACAATGCAGATGCCAGCGATATGGATCACGTTCATTTGTCTGTGTGGCACAGTTTTTTGTGGACACAACTCTTTACACAACATGGATTTATACTTGGAAACCTCTTCTGAGTCACATGAATTAGAAACGGCAGCCGTTCAACAAACAGAAGTTGATAGAGTGACCTCACTAGATACATATGCTTCGAGTCGAACTCTCCCGGCAGGTACGTTTATTTTTGATTCTTTCAAGAGCTGCCTGTTTATGTCTGCATGATCTGACTAATACATGTTTTAAAAACTAAAATAGCTTGACATTATTTACCATAGATTGTAGAGTGAATTTATTTTTCTTATGTCTTGAATTTGTTTGTTTGGTCTGCTTTATGACTGGTGAAGAGGAGAATGGGATTGAGCATCTCCAGATGGAGGCAGGGCAGCAGAGGGAGCATCAAGGAGCCGATTTTAGGACGCTGGAGGCCAGACAAAGGAGAGGTGTCTGGTGGATGAGGAAGCATGCAAACGCAGTGGAAGCCAGTGCCTATAGAATAGTATGAAACTTTACTAGTATTGACACATTATTATCCTGGTTAAATAAAGGTAAAATAAAAAATAATGTATATCTTCCATGTGGGCAGTTTGTTTAAACATATTACACCTCTATTGTATGCTGCTTTGCTCCTTTGTTGAATCATTTGAGTGACTTGAGTAATTGCAGGCAGGGCTGGGGGAGCCTCTGACGGGCTGGAAGAAGCGCGGGAAAGGAGAGAAGGAGACCAGCACCCTCATGACTGAACTGAAGGAGCTCCATGATGAGAAGCAACGACTGATGGATCAAGGGAATGCAGGAGAGGGAGAGGAGGAGGAGGAGGAGGAGGAAGAAGAAGAGGAGGAAGAAGAAGATGATGACGATGATGATGATGATGACGATGATGACGATGATGACGATGATGATGAGGAGGTTTGATTTTGTATTAATTATATTGTTTTGCTTTTTCCCTTTGAATAATCCATGAAAATAGTTTTCTTGCTGTAATTTCTTTCTTAAATCTTCTGCATCAGGAAGAAGAAGAAGAGGAGGAGGAGGAGGAAGAAGAAGAGGAGGAGGAAGAAGAGGAGGAGGAGGAAGAAGAAGAGGCAACGGAGATCCCCAGCAATCAAACAGAAACATACTCCACTTTTACAGAGTCTCCTCTTAGAGAGTGTCAGACTGCTGACAGAGAAATCAGCTGCAGGGGCGTCGGCATGACTCACCTGCCAATCATCCACAACCTGCTGGCCACCAATCTGGACATGGCAGGTGTGTGTGTGGGTGTGTGTGTCTGTGTGTGTCTGTGTGTGTATGTGTTTTTGATGGATGGTACAGAATAGAAGAGCTGTGATATTGATCACATATGAAATGGTTAATTATTAAGTAATATTATTTATTAAGTAGTCCAGTTGCTCTAAGTACAACGTTGATGCCATTAGCCATTTTATTTTATCTTTTGAAAAATCACTTGTCCAATCAGTAATACAAATGATTTAGCAAGAAACAAATAATTAAGTTTAAAATAAAAGCTATAAAAGTTATTTAAAATACATCAAAACAAAAGTTTGTGCACAGATTAATCTACATGACATGACCTGTGAGAGAATTGAGTGTGAGATGCTATGTCGTATACAACCACTACATGTGCCACATCATATATCTTACTATGTGATTTGTCTTTAAAGAGAACAACATCAGAATCATCACCCCACAAGATTTCTCTGGCGTGCCAAACCTGGACACGCTGGACCTGAGTAAAAACAAACTGGATGATGAGTCGTTGAGCAGTAACCCGCTGTCTGTGAGTAACACCTCTCTTATTCACTGTCATTTTCCACAATCCAGTCTTATACTCATCTGCCAACACATCTATAAAGCGTGTATGTCTAATCATGCTTGAATACAAAAATCTCACTTGCTACATTATGGTGCTACTGGGCGATACCTGCTCTTGCTTAACAGCTATTTTCTGAATTGTATGAGTTATAGTTTTGTGTCAAATTGATGCCGCCACAACCAGATCCATCCATCAAACTTTAATACTTCTGCAGTGCTATCAGTCTCAGACCTGAAGCACCAGTCCAGCCTGCTTTACCTTCTGCTATGTGAGTGTTACAACTGTAGTTTTTCCATTGAATGAACATACTTACTGTCTTCAACTAAGGGAGTGTTACACATTTAAAAAATAGGAGCGGCATAGCCTATGGGCATAGCCAACCAGTCATGTTCAATGTAGGTACTCAGTTCGTGTTTTAGTTTTCTTCATGAAGCAATATATCAAATCAATCAACACTTTTCTGATTGCCAAGTGCCTGAAAAAGTTTATTTTATGCCAAGATAGGGAAAATAAATGTCACATTTGTATTTACAAATAGCTTTAATTATATTTTAAAAGCTATATTTTAAGCGGAACTGCAGTTTTTACTTTTTGACATTTCCACTAGGGGTTAGATTCACAGATTAAATCAACATTATTTTAGACACAGAAGTGAACATGTATTTAATGTGAACCACCAACATGGATATAAAGCAGAAAAACACAGTATTAAAAGAATGGCCGCTGCAGTAAAGCTCTGCAGCAATTATTTTCCTTTCACAGGTGGTAAAGGTAGAATTGTTCTGATAATGACACAAAAAGCTCCCTCTTGTGGACAATCTGCATTTTGCTAAACGTGAATGAATGACTTTCTGAGTAACAAAACAGTTAAAAACGTAACTTTGCATCTAATTAAAATAAAAAGCAGGCTGTATCCTGTATCCTGTATCATTACAGTAATAAAAGAGCACGGAAAATGGCATTAATCCTTTTCTAAGAATAACCTCGGGTCTAACCTCTAAATGACCACAGGCCGAGCTCAGATCCTGACCACACCGAGGCAGCCCACCACACTCTGACCAATCATCTCACGCTAACATCAGCGCACTCTCACAGCATTGGCTGGACAGACCTGTTGGGAAATAGCTGCAGCCAATAATGTGGAGAATAAAAGCAAATTATTTTTGGATGCAATCTTTTTTTCTTCTTGATTTTTCTGCTCACGTAACAGTAATGACAGAGGACTGATGGACTGGCTTGAGGGATGCTGCAAAAAGATTCAGTCCACTGCTTTTAGTTGACACACATCTACCACAGTGGCTTTCACTGAGGAACCGCAGAGAGCGGCTTTACTAAAAATACAACATGATAGATGACATAAAAGAGACTCACAGATTTGGTCTGTTTCTGTGAACTCTGGGATTGTGTCCTTCTCGGCAAATCGGGATAGAAAATTATGGATTTTGAAGACAAATATATATTTTGTTTGTTGTATCTTTCTGACCCCTTTTTTGTTGTTGCTGCGTGTCATGCAGGACTTGACCTTTCTGAAGAAGCTGAACCTAGATGGCAACAAGCTAACCAGGATCCCAGTGCTGCCTCCATCTCTGGAGCAGCTCAGGATCAACAACAACCAGCTCAGTACACTCACCCCTCACTGTTTCAAAGGTATAGGATTGGTTTTTGTGTCTCTTTTAATGGAACAGGAACATATTTGATGACAATAATATAACTTAATATTCCTCTCTAGGTTTGACAAACCTGTTGATTCTGGAGCTGGAGGAAAACATCCTCCATGAAGGCAGTGTGTCGCCGCTTACTTTCCGGCCACTACAGAGACTTCTGGACCTCCAGTTGGACAACAACCGCTTCCGTTCCCTTCCTCTGGGCCTTCCTCCCTCTCTGCAGGTGCAATAATATCACTTAACTGTAAATCCTCCTTAAAATATGTTAAGATTAGCCAAACGAGGCACCTGGGATTAAGACTTGTGCTCATGGTAGAAACTGACACAGGAATAACTGTCCCAAATGACACATCCTTGTCATTATGTGTGTTCTTTATTGTAGGAGCTGGAGATAAATGCAAATCAGATTGAGGAGGTGACAAAGGAGGCACTGAGAGGCTGTGTCCATCTGAGAGTGCTGGACATGAGTCACAACCTGCTGCATGAGCAAGGCATCGCTACCAAGGCCTGGTCCCGTCTCAAGTACGTCTGTCCATCCTGAGCTTTTGATTTTTAACAATAATGCTCTGCAGTTTCTCCATCAGCCACAAGAGGGTGGACTGGTGTTGTTTGGGATTCACTTCATAACTCTTTTGTTATCAATGTTGTTGTCTAAGCAGTTATCAGTGAATGGGTTTATTATTTAAAAGATTTAAAATAACCATTTCCATCACATTTTTATACACGTTTTAACACGTGTACAGGAGACATCTACAATAATTCCCCTGCCCCTCCCTCTCCACCCCACACTCAGAGATCATCTAGATATATATATATAATTAAACAAATAAAGTAGATTACACACTGCTACATCAAAGAGAAAACAACGCTACACAAAAAACAGGTAATGACAATAAGTAGTCTGCAAGACTGTGGAAAACCGACAAACAAACAGCTTCAGCATTGTACTATTGTCCTACAATAAAATACAAAATAGGCTACAACAGATTTAAGCCAAGGGGTATCTGCGTTTTTTACACTGGTTAGATCATTAAAGTATATCAGTTATTTAAATTCCTACAACTTGGGATGTAAAAATGATCATGATCAGTACTTATGATTTATGTGGCTGAGGTTTTGACTGGGTTCACACACACACACACACACACACACACACACACACACACACACACACACACACACACACACACACACACACACACACACACACACACACACATCACAGAAGTTATGATAGCTGACCTTGTGTACTCGGATGAGCAGGCGTGTGAGGGAGAGCTTGAGGGCAACTGTGTGTCTGTTTGTGTATGTATGTCTCAATGTGTGTCTATGGTGGTGTGTGTGTCTGTTGTTTAAATATAGTGAATTCCTGTGGGCTTTTCTCCTTGCTCCCTGGGATCCTTGTGAACCACAGTGGGAGCTTCAGGGAAAAGTGAGTGAAAAAAGAAAATTGTTAAAGAAAGACAGGAACTGGAGAGACTTGTGCAGACTGGAAGATTTATTTAAGAGAGAAAATGTGAAATTGGGAGAATATATTTAGAGGAAGTTTAGCTGAAGAAAGAACGAGATCTGGAACACAAATGGATACAGTAAAAAACCATACCAGAGAGATGACGTGACTAGGCAGCACTCTGAACCTTCGCTTGACTTGTGACTCGAATGTATTTGACATCTGACATTTGACCTCATTAGTCCTACCATTGGCTCTGCAGGCTTAAGAGCTGGTCATTAATTTAAAAAGCTTCCCTGAGCAGAGACAAGTGAGTTGGAACACATGTAACTTGACCTGAACTCCAATGACACAGCAGGAGCAGAAACTTTAAAGGGCAACGGTCATTACCTGAGTGGCATTAAACCATATTCCTCCCGTGGTTGGATACTATTTCATTATGTACACATAATGATTACAAAAGCTTGTGGAGAATATATTCAGCTCTGTAGAAGTGCGAAGATAAATATACAGAGAGCGATAAAGACGCAATGAGAAGTAAATTGTTAAAGATAAAATAAACTGCAGTGTGCTGGTTCTGGTTAGTGGGGCGCCTCTGTTCCATGTCACACACTCACTGAGTGTTATTGTTGCCTCCTGATGAGGTTCAGGGATTGGACCCGTGCAGCCTCGGAGGTACCCGTGGAGGTTGCCTGATGTTGATCTGGAGAGTGCAGTTTGTACCTGGGATTAGTTTCAGGCAGGATGGGCTGACTGTCAGCATCTCTGCTCATTATCTGCCTATTAAACATATCTCATCTATGGTCAGTACTGGGTTTGAATGCATTTATTAAAGCAGAAGTGTTCCGATTTTCTATTTCTGAGATCCCTTTTTTTAAACTCAGTAAATGAATCCCAGTTCTGTCTTAATTTTGTGTTCCTCTGTGTGTTTACAAAGGCTTCCAGTGTGTGACCATTGTGTAAGAATATGCACTTGCTTTTTTTTTAAAAATTAAAAAATGTGTGAACAGATTGAATATCAAATCAATATGTTTGCAGATATAATATATAATAGTGCATAGACACTCGATAGACTACAACATGGAAATATTAATTACATATCAAAAAGTTATTAATAATCATTACATCTCACAATATACGTTAATTTAGCTCTCGCGGACCATTTTGATAGTAAGAAGAGTACTTTCGGTTTTAATACTTTAAGTACGTTTTGCTGATAATATATCTGTACTCTATGATGCCACCTTTAGGGAACAACTAGCACATGTAAAAACACACACACAGACGCAGACACAGATAAGGCTGTTTGCCACCTTCTCCCGGCTCTTTATGAACCTGTCGGCTCAAATCACAGTCTCAAATGCCTCCATATCTTCTCCTCAAGTCAATCAAAATGTACCAGTCATCACCTCCCTGCTGCCAGGTGACAGCCTCACTCCAACTCCACATCTTCACTGACAGAACCAAAGCATGTTTTCAATTTCTTCCTCTCATGAAAGCTGCACAACATTTTTCCAAAAAGGTTACGTCATGGGTAATATGTTTTCAATTGCAGTTTTTATTAACGCTGTCAAACATTTTTATTGGTAAGATTTTCACAATGTTGATTGTCTGCTTAAATGACGTAATACTTTATGATGTTCTATAGCTCAATATAATAGACTTGTAAATGTGTCATCAGCTTTAAAGTTATCTAGTAAAACTTGACCACAGTATTAATTAAAAAGTGACACAGAGGTGATGTCTTATCTAATTTTATTTTGAGTTAAAACAGATTGTGTTGCTGGCTGATCAGATGATAACTTCAACTGTTAGTTATGTTTCTATTAGTTCTGTGATTTTGACTGCGAAGACCTTTGCGCACATGTATCATCGCTGATGATACATGTAAGCACAGGTTCTGGCCACAAAGATGCTTGTTATGTTATAAACTTGACAGGACTCGTAACCAAAGCTATTTTATCTTCGCACCATCACAAATTGGATTCTTAAAAAGGTTGGACAAATAGAGAAACAATAAGCTCACAATCACACACAACCACTAAAAACAAGAAAACTATCTAAAGTGAAAACCTTTTGAGTTTGATTTAGGTTTTGTATTACTTTAAATTGGTTCTTCTTTGGTTACAAACAACATGGCAGAGTTTTCAGTCTGAAAAAGTAAGTAGACCACATACAAATACTGTTGGATGGGCAGTCCTCATTGTGTTCCAATGCAGTAAATCATTAAGGTAGTTTTCTGTTTAAATAAATCCATATGTTCTTTTTGGTGTACTGTATGTATCAGTTTACCAGTATGTTCATAATTAGGTGCACACAGAAGCCTGCGCTATAATGACTTGATGTAGCTGAAGGCATGTCGGCTATCATCCATCCATCAATTCTTTATTTTCAAAGCCTTGTTCTCTTTATCCTGCATGGCACAGTTACTCTGCCGGATACATTACCTTCTCTAGATAGGTTGCCAAAGTGCGTAATCCGGCTTGTGTAGTGCTGGCAGGTTGGACTCAGATGGAAGTGTGTAAATAAGTAGTGTACTCCTGCTTCTTTATTGTGCTGGTTCCCATTAGAACCCAATAACCTGAGGAGGAGCAGAGGACAGCTTGATTACTCCTGGCCATGCTTTTCAGAAAAACATTGATCCACAACCATTTGGTTATGTGTAATTGGTTCGTGCCTCTCTGTAAATGTTTTAGAAGTGAAGTCATGTTGTATTCTTGTAGACAGAGTGCATGTGTGTCCCTATTTGCTAGTATATAATATATACTAGCAAACAGGGACACACTTATTTGCTAGTATATAATAGCAAATAGGGACACGTATTGTTTTTGAATTAGCCTTTTTAAATTGACACATTTTATAAACATAATATTGGCGTATCGCTGTGTCTGGAAGCATTAGGGTTATTTTCTTCAATTATTTTGCATGCGCAAGGAGGTGTGTGTGTGTATGTATGTTGGTGTGTGTGTGTGCGTACATAGGTGCCAGTGGGTGGTGTGTGTCCCTCTGCTCATTAATACCATGTGGAGCTAAGTAGCAGTATACTGCTGTTGAGCTTCCTGGCTAGATTTAGAAAATAAATCGGCAGCACACAGCTGGTCTGAACTGGTACTGAGAAGCTTGTATAGTGATATATCTTCAGGGTTCAAATATCAAGCAGAAACCACATTTTACAGCAATCCATGAGTGACAAAATGCGTATAGGTTAATCAGAAAGCCTCCCAGGTGTTCAGTGAGCGTTGGCTTGTGTATTTTGAGTTAAATCTGTCACTTTGCTCCCTGTTTGTTTTCAGTAAAACATTTATAGTGGTTTTAACGTGACTCCTTATTACACCGCTGTTAAGCAGAAAACCATGTAAACACGGTCAGGTTTCATAAGGTCTATGGTTGTTTGACTACTGAGGGCCTCATGCTAACCATGACCTTTCCTGTGATACTGACAAATGATCAGAAGTTGCTTCATGTACCAACATTTTGATTGATTTAGGGATTTTAACCCCCTTCTCATTGACACACGCCATCCATCTCATGAAAATAAAATCCCCACAAAAACAGCAGTGATTAATGTAACTTGGGAGCTGTAAAGTTCAAGGGAGCCAAGTTAATGCAAGGGTCTTACTGTAAGTCACCTTTACGAGGAGCAGAAATGCTGAGGCACCAAAATATCAGACAGATGCCAGTCCAAGCGTCTTCCTCATCCATTACCCTTCACTCTCTCTCTCCTCATTGGTCCCCATTTCATTTCTCTGTGTAGTCATTGGCTGGCCACCTCAGAGTGTTCTGAGACCATTGGCTGTTCAGTGTGGTCTATGAATGGCAGAAGAACAGGAAATGAGGTTCCTATCCTGCAGTGAGCCGTGCTGTAAACTCACAACAGCTGTGTTGGATCTTTCTGCAAAAACACTGAACCCCTGTACTGCATCTTCCCCTCGAAATCTGGTCCTGTTTTAATACAGTCTTTCATTCTCTTTCCCGCAAACCAACATTTTCATACCCCTTCTGCACCTCTCAGCCACAAATTCCCCCTCAAATGACCACATTCTCTCACATTGTACCCCCCAGAGCCCATTATTTCCCCCCCTGTTGCCCCCCAGGATTCCCCGGCAGCCTTGCCTCCCACTCTGCAATCCTGACTCCCTTTCTCCCCCCTACAGCGCTATGCAGGAGTCCTGTAACTATACAATGTGAAGCCTGCAGTTAAACGCCGTGGAATAAGAGTGGAAGTGGGCCTCCATTATCATATCAAGTCTAGAGTCTTGTAAAACATGCTCCTGATGTTAAGCAGGTGAAATGATACCCATGATCACAATCTTAGTTTAGCGTTTCGGCATGTGAAAATGTGTTGCTCAGCACTTAACACAATGTAAAGCAGAGGTTGATGTGAATGTTGGACACATTTAAATGTTTATTTGTATATCACTTTTTCTTAATGATATAACAAAGTGCTTCACAAAAATGGCATGGCAATCCCTTCACAAATGTCTACATCATGGTGGCTCTGAAAGAAAACTTGGGGATCAACAAAGTCTACAGGATACATCATCAGGGGACCATGAATGAACCACATGTTTGGTCAATCCAAAGCTGGGACCTAACTTCTGCGAAACATGAATATCTAGTATGTCAACAATTTCAAGATAACCCAGTTGTTGAGATATTTCAGTCGAGACCTAAGAAGTGGACTAAGCAAAAGTCCAACAGACTGACATTATAATTATCATTTTAATGTGACGGTCTTCTTGTAGATATCTCACAGAAATTCATGATCCTTGTGTTTTTCTCTCAGCACCCTGGAGTCCTTGGACCTGTCCTACAACCGGTTCACCTCTGTCCCGATGAATCTGCCACGCCGTCTCCAGAAACTGTCCCTCCAACACAACAACATCAGTCACATCACCGCCTTCACCTTCCGTCACATGCGGTCGAGCCTACAGTCCCTCCGTCTATCTCACAATGCCTTGAGCAATGAGGGCTTAGAGCGGGTCTCTCTTGTTGGAGCGTACCGCTCACTGGGTGAGCTCCTGCTGGACAACAACCATCTGAGTCAAATCCCTCGCTGCATTCGCCAGTTTAAGAACCTGAAGTTGCTGAAACTAGACAACAACCAAATCAGGTAGAGTCACATTTTGTATACATTTGAATGAGTCTAATGTGTTTGTCACAATGCAGGGATAAGCCAAATGCTTGTTTGTTCCCCAATCCTGTCCTAACAACATTAGCTCTGCTTATGCAGCTCCCTTTGGAAAAGACTCTAAGGAGCTTGGCAAAAAGCAAAGAAAGATATCATGGCACATTCAGTGTCATTTATTCAAGCCAACAGTTTGACATCTTCATCAGCATAAAGATGAAGACAATGACTATTGTTGCCAAAAATATTTCTTTCTGTCTGCTAACTTTACAAGACCCTGTGTCCCCTTTGATCTAATGTAGTAACACAAAGGCTCTTGTAGAACTCAAAAGACTTATTGTGCATTTTATATGGGGAGACTAACAAAATCACCAAGCGTGGAAGGAAAGTCCTATGTAAAAACTTTAAAGTACGTATGTTGTGGTTGCAGGCTGGTGAGGAAGTGGGGAGTGTGCCACCCTGGTAATGCTGGCTCCACCTTGGCTTCCATCCACTTGGAAAACAATCTGCTGGAGGTGGAGAAGATCCCCCCAAATGCCTTCTCCTGTCTCTCGGATGCTCAGGGACTGGTCCTCTATCCACAAAAGGGGCACTCGTATCACAAATAGGCTGCAAAGTTGGACAAACTAAGATGGACAGATTCCCAAATACATGTACATGCATAATCATGGCATACAGCCACTCAATATTTCTGTAGGCAGGGTCTACAGAAAAATATCTCTATCATGTAGTTTACTTCAGTCAGTGCTATCATGTTATTGTCCCAAAACCTGTCTTTCTCTTTCACTTCTCACCTTTGATTAGGAGAATAACAGTGATGTGTTTGTATGTAATTTATACAGTAATGGAAAGAATCATTATGTAAAAGGTCAATACATGACGGTTGTTTCCAGATCTGCTCCAAACACCGGCCTATATCTGTCAATTCATTCAAGTAAGTGACACCTTTGAGGAAATGGAGAAAAGCTTAACCTAGTCTCAGTCTGGGGCTTGCAGGTGGAGCCTTTAGTCAGGTAATGTAGAAACAATGTGAGTGTGTTTTGATTTGGGACACAGAGGGGTCAAATCTTGGGACTGCAGCACGGGGGTCACTGAGAGAAAGTTAAAATATCTGGTGACACAGTGTGAACCTAAGGGGCCCATTAGGAAAGAAAATATAAACATCACGCAGGTTTCCTATCACCAGATGATTTCCAACATAAACATCCACCACCAGCCGCTCAGCAAAAACACATAAAGTCACTCTGACTGTGGGGGGGTGCGGGGGGGGGCCTCAGTTGGGGCCTACAAATGTGTAGGAGTGTGTACAGTAATTGGGGGGTGAACATATGTGTTCATGAGAAGACTGGGGCTGCACCTTATTTGGGTTAGCAGTAGGGTAGATGGTAAAAAAAGGGGAGGAACATGCTTATCTAAGGCACAGAGTAAAACAAGCTCACTTTGAGGCACAATAAAGCGATTGTTCTTAGAAAGTCTTTAAGCCGATCAGTTAAACATGAGAAAAGGAGCAGTTCACGTGTATTTAGGTCCAATAGGATGTGGCTGGAAGACAGAAACAGAGAGCTGGAGCACATCGACAGATCTTTTGGGAACTAAAGCCACTGAAGCTGTCGTCCTGCCAACCTTGTTGACAAAGTGACTTCCCGGACCACAATGTTCTCTCCTTCTCCAACTTGGTGTCTATCGCCACATATCTCACTTTCCATCTTCTCCTGTTTATCCCTCATCCTCTTGCACAGTAAAGTACAATGCCCCATTCTTCTGTCTCAGCTATGATCTCGGCTCCTTGAGTCTTGCGGTGTGAATGAGAGCCATGTCTGTTACATTTCTGTATTTTAGATTGCCTTAACATAACAGAACATAAGAGCCAAAAGAAAAAGACAAACCCTGTTGCACTCTCCGTTATTTTTTTTATGACATTAAGATGCCCGTTATTCACAATGTAGTGAGCTGCTTTACACCAAATCCTGATAAAACAAACAAATCTGTATTTGTGGTCTCACCCGCAGATACAGAATATCTTTTATGAAGGCTGATGGAAGTGCACTAGTGTCTTTCATTTTTTAATCCACTCGTGCAAAGACACACTTAACAGTATGTCACTTAGAGTAATGGATATAATTAAAATTATAAAATGTTGTACTCTGTGTACAAAGTCGTAATTTACAGGCTGCGTTGACTATCTGGCTCCAGGTATACGTTTTCAGCAGAGAGCAAGGCCTCTGAGGCTCTAAATGAAGAACAGAAGGTCCCCTGCAGACGCTAGAGTTACACACTCAGAGGAAGAAAGGGAGGGCAGGAGGGAGGGAGAGATCAACAGTTAATAAACAAGAGAGAAAACAAAGCTGGGTTATTGAGAGGCAAACAGCTGACAGTCATCAAGGTTATGAGAGCACATGCATGGTTTGAATGTGTAATATAAACACACACAGAAACACTTTTATACTTTTCACTCTCAGCCTGGGCGTGTAATCACATGTTAGATTTCTGCTTTCAGTCTTGTGCATGTGGTGCAGTCTCCATTCTCCATAATTGTACAGTCATTTAGCAAACAGCACATTACTGTCTAAGAAACTACACATTCGCATTTATACTGCAGTTCCAGCAGAGACGATCAAAACTGCATCACTTGTCTTTCTGCAGTTTCCCGTCTTTGTAGTCCTGAACAGATGAATGATCCAGCCTTGATCCTAAATCTTTAAACCTCCTCTCCACAGCTATTTCAGATGGGGTGTTTTGTCAAATTTGACAAGCTTGCCACTTCAGCACAATCCATCATAGCACATGTGACACGACTAAACTGTTCAACTGACGTCTCATCACACCCAAAGGATGTTTCGAGTCCGGTGAAGCTGAGGCCAGAGCCTGAGAGGTTGACTGTACTGCAGTGTTTAGCTTTTTCTTCTCCCATTCTCTGTCTGTCCAACCAGGACACAGCAGCTTCCTCTGTTATTGGAGGATGTCTGGCTGATTTAATCAAAAGTACACACACAGTGAAAAGCAACAAAAAAGGTATTTTCCTGACTTAGGTCGGCGTCAGACATTAGCAGAGAAAGTGAGGAAAGGAGAAAGCTGGAGGGTGGAAGAGTGAGGACAGTCTCTTTGCTATAGCATGAGATTGGGTTCCAGTGTTAAGGGTCAACTATTTGGGGTCAACAAGAATGTGCTTACTGCAGTGCAAGAGAACGAACCGCTCGGCCATCAGCCTGATGTGCTCATCCTTGATAGCCAGCAACATTAATGACTATGAAGTACACTTTTATTGGGCTTATATCCAAAACCCCAGAAACAACACTATGGAGCATTTGGTTTCTTGCCTCTCTCTTGCACTCACTCTGAAGCAGCACCTAACCAAGAGCTCACAAGTGGGTGTGCTAGAGACACGTTAGCTGAACACTTGTAGGACTAAAAAGAGTTTAATTTAGATGCCAAGCCCTCCAGCTATAGACCAACACCATAATCAAGTGAACCACAGCGAGAGAGAGAGAGAGACGGGCAGACAGAGAAATGAAGAGTGAGAAATGGAGGGAAAGACTAAATCTACTAAATGAGGGCGAGAGGAAGCAGACTCAGTGAGAGGAGGAATGTTATCTGCAAAGGCCTTTATCAAAACTCTGTCTCCTGCCAACACCCCTGCAGGGCGTTGATCTGGTGGGCATGCCTTTTCCGCCACTGTGGATACTGCACTCTTTGAGAGAAAGAATGGCATATAACCGAACAAAACAACATGCAGGATTTCCAGTGGTCTCTTGTATTTATATAAATAATGAGGAAAAATATTAGGATTTGATGCTCAAGGTACTGAAGCAGCAGAGCTTCAGCAGAGTATAACTGTTCAAGTCTGTGAGGCAGACTTTGTGCAGGGTCGGAAAAGTTCCCAGATGGTGAGGCTTGCCAACCTTGCTCCCTCACTCTGGGTGTTGGCAATATGGAGAGGAAATCAGAGAGTTAGTGAGAAAGAAACACTTTATCCTGCCAAAACAACATTTAATAGAAAACCGTGAGAAGATGCAAAAATGATGTTTTATAATCACAGTATTTTTGGTGGAGCTGGGTGGTGTTCCCCCTCTGTGTTGTGACATTAAATAGTGGCTGGTTAAAAAAAACTTACTCTGCAAACAGAATAATACAACATCCAGCAATATGAGCCAGAAATATCCAGTTTGAGCTTCCACAGAAGTATAAAAGCTAAAACTTCCCAGAAAGCATGACATGGGATTTCCCTGGAATATCTTCACAGACCAACAATGTAATACAATTACGATGAATATATGAAATATAAGATAGAAAGAAATAGTGAAAGATAGATAGAAAACCGGTTTTCCTCTTCACAAACATACATGTCTGTTGCTCTTTACAGGGCCACAGTAACGTTGCTCTGCGTCTCCATGGTGCCATGTGTTAGCACATGTTTTGCTACAATTACTTAAGGGCTAAAATTACGATGTCTTTCATCTAAATTGCCTTCAAAAGCAATTTGTCTTCAAAAGCAATTAAACATGGCAGTTACTCAGACACACAGTTGAAATACAGTGCACTCTCTGTCCTTATTTCCTTACTAGACACCACCATGTTATCACTGGACATGTTTTTTTATATAGTTATCCAGACTGTGTACAGAAATAACAGGAACCCCAAGGAATCTAAAATTGTTATAGTTGTAATAATATATCTTACCTAAAATCAATCACATCATATTTGCATGATTTTACTTTAATAATAAAATCATAAAAATCGAATTAATGATTATAGGAGTAATATTGAATAACACAATTCGTCCTGTACCACTGTATAGAAGTGCTGCACTCAGGAATCTTTCCCTCCACACACCCCCCTCCCTCCTCCTCCCCCGTCTCTTTCCTCAATCCAAAAAAGGGGAGAAAGGAGGCTGGCTCCTTAACTTTATGGGCTTGACCCCCCCTGCTCCCAGTCATTTCCTCGGTTGGGACCGGAGCGAGCACACACGGTGACGGTCCTTAGTGACGGAGGAGCTGCGGCTGGATGCACGAGGACCACAGAGAGACACAGCAAATATCCCTCAATGTGATGAGAATATAAGACTCTAGGATAAACTGACGCACAGAAGGAGACACCTTGATTTTTTGGGGGACTTAATATCGTGTTTTTGATTCACAAGGTAGGGGTGATGGGACTTTTAAAATTATGTAATGTGTTATTCAGTCTATTAATATGCCACTTTTTTCTCCAGAGACTGAATTTCACTTGACAATATAATAATAATAGGACAAGTAGCCTATGCCTACTGTGCCTTCATGTTAGTTTATTTTAATACACAGCACTTTGAAGTATTAGATTTAACCTTACCTAATGCATGTTGTTATGTGTTCACATTTTGTATACTTTGCTAAGATTCATGTCGCCAACTTTTATACTTTCAGTTAAAGTTCTCACAGTGTTTGTAGTGTGTAGCTACTTGGGTAGGTTATTTTATTTATTTTCCTCCTCACGATTATTATATTTCAAATACTATCCACATCATATAATACAACCTGTTGCATAGGGCTTTTGATGCTGTAGTTATCCGATCAGCTGTTACTCCTGAGTTACAGCAGATGGCGCAGCCAGTCTCAGCAGAGCGCTCACGGTGAGCGGTCATTAGTGGCAGCAGAGAGGATAATGAAGCAACACTTTTTCTTTCCACTCACTTTATCCTCTAATCAACGCGACCCTATTCTCTCTTATCAGACTGTAGATTTATGGGCTCTATAAAGTCCATCCCTGCATCATCATTTAAGGAGAATAATTATAGTGAAACGTGCCAATCAAGTAAATAGCTCCTTCTGGTTCTCATCTGCGCTACCCTAATATTTAGGCTCTGTGTACACAGCATTCCGATTTTGAATTATGTCTGGGAATTTGAGAAACGTTATTTGCCAGGGAGATAATTACAGCTGCTGTGTTTTTGTGTTCACTAATATAAGGCAAACAAACAAGCATGTTATTGACTCTCTCTTTTCCCATTACTCTCCTGTGCTGATGAGTTCATGAGCAGCATTTGTCAACTACCGTTAGAGTGCATAACTGAGTCACCTTACTGTAAAAAGACATAGCAAACAATGTCTGACTGTCGAGTGAAAATGATGGTGTACATCTGTCTGTTTCCGGACTTTCCATCCTGCCTGCCTATTAGCCAGGCTGTGGGTTGACCACCTACACCTGCCTGTCTGTCTGTCTACAGTAACTACCTGTGTGTCATCACAGTTTGGTCCAAGT